TTGGCTCTATATGGGTACACTGGCGTGATGCAGAGCGCGTATCTAACGAACCTTGGCAATCGATTACCCTCGAACGTTATCATCGCAGTGCGTCCTTTCCTTCCCAGAAGTCGGACCGTGACGATGTCGTGAGTGTCACATCGGAGCCTGTCCCGGAGAGAGGTCTTGTCCTCACCCTCGTCTACTTCATATATGACCCCTCGAATTTGGTTATCCTGCAGTGTTTTGTAAGCTTGTACGGGAATCTCTTCTTCGTTAACAACTGAAATTCCAGTGATCTCCAGTAACGCCTTGGCGGTAGGCTCAGATAATGTTTGTGCGGAGATAGTATTGCGCTCCTTCTGTAGCTTTACTGATATCTCCTGTGATTGTGTGCCTAGCGTTTTTGTGAAGGCTTCCTCCAGGGTTCTTCTCGGTATGGTGGTAAGGTCTGTCTTCGTTCGTGGTCGAAGTATGACAGCGAAGCGCTGGCGTGGGGCCTGCGCCTTGCCTTCGCTTTCAGTGGTCTTCTTACGAGTGTATCGTGCCCGCTTGATGGTCTTTTTGGATTGGACCAAAGACCATGCTGGGCCGTCGTCCTCTTCTGTGATTGAGCTTTCCGTTACGGCGGTGCTGACGAGAGTGTCCGCTGTCGCCGCCTGTGTTGAGAGTGACGTCCCAGGCGCCATGGCCGCATGCCGCTTGCGGCTCTCGCTGTCGTCTTGTCGGCCGTTTTTCTCCGGTGTACTCGCCGACGAGGTGGCCGACTCTTTTTCATTAGATTTAGAAATCGGTGTTTTCTTGAACCGTGGCTCTATGGTAGTCTGCTTGTTTCCTGAAGCTTCTGGCCGAGAAAGATCGTCTAGAGCTTGCAGGAACATTTCCGTGATTTCCTCTTTTGAGGCCTTCCCTAGCAGAGCGACTAGGAGCGATTTGATTTCGTTCGCGGTACTTTGAGTTACCGGAGCTGGATGTGGTTGTCTCGGTGGTGGTTCCGAGTTGATGGCCGGCAGGGCAGGCCAGTTGATCGTTGTTTCCGGTTTTGGAGGATTCAGAGTTGGCGTCGTAAATCGGAACACCGCATTGGGGTTGGCGGTCACAGCTGCGGTGTCCATCGTCTCCATTGCAGCGGTTAGGCCTAGCAATGCACCGGCTCAGATCGCTTTAGTGCTGGCTTTTTGGGTGCGGAAATTCGGCATATTGGCCCCCGGTATGATATACCCTGGTCACATACCTGCCGAAATCTACACTTCGAAGCAATGGTCGGTATACTTCTGTCTTAAAACGGAGTCAAGAAATTCGAAAATTTCCAGAGCGGTCGAAAGAGCAGGGCGTCTCAGTCGGGCTTCTTTTTTCTCCCACACGACATACGTGACCCCACGTTAACATAGCTTTGCCAATCTTCCAATTGCACCAGCTTGTCCGCACGAGCAAAGGCATGGTGGCGGCCAGTTTTGCTTGCAATCCTCTATAGACGTTTCCACTGTTTACAAAAATCACAGTGCACACGTGCTAAGTCGCAGTCCAGGGGGATCGGTGACCGAGTGGGCTAGCGCACACCAGCAGGTGGAGCAAAAGTTTGCGCTGCAGAACCCTGGGATCCTGGGTTCAATCCCTACCCCTACCCGTTTCGGTTTGGATGAGCACGTACAGAGCGCGACAGTGTTAGCGCGAACAAGCGATCGCCGGTTTTTCCAGTTTTTCTCTTTGAAACTAAGGGATGTCATCCAAGTCATTATTGCTACTGAAAGAGCTCAATTAGCTCTATAATGTAAGCGATAAAATTTCGTGCTGGCTAATACTATTTAGAAGAAAAAGGCGAAAATGCGCGGACGTCGTGTTCGCGCTAACAGTGTCGCGATGTGTACCAGCGTGCGGTCGTGTATCACTACTGCGTGACGCGCGTTAAAGACCCTAGTCTGGCGGTTGTACTGCATTGGCTAAATTTCTCATCTACAGCTGGGAAACATGTCGCCCGTTGATGCAGACAAAGTTCTAGGCTGTAGAAGCATACACGCACCCTAAATTATTTTTTTTTAAATCACAGTTTAGTTATTGTTTTCGTGCAATTGCGGCCAGCCAGAACGCGCGCGTGCATAACACAGCAACACAGCAATAAGCGCGCCCTCAAACGCTTTTATGAAAAGGTGTATACACCTTTCTATAAAAGAGCATGAGGGCGCGTTATTGCTGTGGGTGTGCTATGCACGCGCCCTTTCTGGCTGGCCGCGATAGACCTATTGCTATATTACCCAAGCGTCAAGGAGAACGCAGGGATAGGTGTTCCACGCGCCACACGCGCACGCCTTCCCCGTATATAAGATTCGAAGTATATAACCAAAATAAAGCGCTGACGAAGGCGCGTGCAAGATGCCATTTGTTTTAGGTAGTTGCTTTAGAAAAGTTACTACTGCTGAGGCCAGAACGTGCGGCGCGTGGAACACCAATCCCTGCATTTTCCTTGATGCTTGGGGGGGATCGGTGGCCGAGTGGTCTAGCGCACACCAGCTCGGAGCGCGTGGAGCGAAAGCTCGCGCTGCAGAACCCAGGGATCCTGGGTTCGAGCCCCACCCCTGCCCGTTTCGATCTGGATGAGCATCGTACCGGCGTGCGGTCGTGTATCACTACTGCGTGATGCACGTTAAAGACCCCAGGCTAGCGGCTGTACCGCACTGGCTAAATTTCTCATCTACAGCTGGGAGACTCGTCGCCCCTGTGAGGCAGACCAAGTTCTAGGCTGTATAAACACACACACAACCCAATTTTTTTTTTCTTGATGCTTGGGTAATATAGCAATAGGTCTATTGCGAGCGAGCGCTGGCTGGACTGTGATTTAGCAGGTGTGAACTGATTTTTGTAGTGGAAACGTCTATTGGAAGTATTAAGTGGCGGCCATAGCTGTGTGCTCGACTGCTGAGTGCGTGTTGACGGCGGGTCTTTATAGTTCTTTTGCAACGTGCATTCCGCACCATCAAGACTGCCGGTCTTAGCAGTCTATTAATGTGATAATCTGAGCTCGTTCTGAGCAGGCCCTCTCGCTCTAAACATCGGCCTAGTAAACCCAGCCTAGTAAAAATACAGGCCAAGCCAGGCCCGAATCCGACAGCTTTCATCAACTCAAAATCCGAGCCGGACCCGGCCCGGTAGGGTTTATAAACATGAGCCCCAACCCAGCAGGTTTTCTTGATACAAGCACGAGCCCTGCCCACTTTGATTGCTTTGATTTTTAACTGTAACTTCCTCGTGCACTACAGAATTTCAAACAATCAAAAAAGGTAGTTTGTTAGATAGCCATTCGTTATACGATGGTATGGGCAATTCGTCGTGTCTTAACGTCATTGATTGACTCGAACTAATTGTGAACTGAAGAATTCAACGTGACAATGTCACGAAGTGCTTATCCGCAAAGAAAGATAAAAACTCGAAGGAATGGCCACCTACAGTTCCGCAGGGTCGCTAGGTTCACAGCCTCACAAACACGAACAAATAAAGTAAACTGAAGCCCGGATCAGGCCCGTGAAAAACATTTCGGTCGAAGCCCGAGTCGGGCCCGGACCTAAGAAAACATGCGCTACTCGGCCCAGACCAGTCAGAATTCGGGTTAAATATGTGCCAGAGCCAGCACAGCAGCGGAGTCTGACAACCAGGGGATGACTACTTCCATCCGCCATTTTGGGGCTCTGAATGAAACGAATTCTCTGCGATTTCTCAGGAATAATGAGAAACAAAATTGCGAGGACACCTAAGCACTTCTTATGAGTTGTGAATGCGAAAGCATTAATGTCATTAATTAACCTTAGTTCGTCTGCGGTGTACTGGCATGGACGGCCACGTTTCGCTACTGCCGAGGTTGCGGCCGCCTACGGTTAGGGCGCCTTCATGTGCGCTTTGCTTAGGGTGGAGACATCTGGCCATTTTGTTCCCCCTTTTACATTTATTTTTTGTTCAGAAGCGCGTGAAAGAGCGTGTCCCTGCACGCGTCTGTGGCGCTGACTGTGCTATGGCGACATTTTGTTTTCGTCGATTTATTTGTATTTTCCCCGTGAGCGCGTGCTGTCGGCATCGGGTACTACAAAGGGTGGCATCACTTTAAACAGAAGGTCATTGAGGCACCCTACCTACGGTATTCGCCCTTTTTTTGTTTGGCAACAAACTCAGTGGCGCCATCTATTTCGGTAGTCCCGGCACACTTCCGGTCAACGTATTCTTCCTAATTTTTTACTGATCATTCTTTCATTATAAGAGTGAATTAAGTCTGACGGAGCCATAAGTATTCATTTCCAGAAGATTGCGTGTATATTTGATTTCGCAAATACTGCGAAATCTGTCGTCTAGTTGGGAACCGGAAACACTTGGGGGCTATTTGCACACTGGCGCCACCACGTTTCAGTTCACGCGAGAAAGAGCGAATAGATGCTTCAGGCGCCGCCTGTTCTTCGGCGCCGAAAGGAGCAGAAGTGGCCGCAGCGCCGGCAGGAAGTGCGGCGGTGCACCGCGCAGACCGCCCTGCTCGCTGGTGACTGCTGCGCTGCTGGGTGAGGCAGCGGCGGGAGTGCGAAGCTCGCTGGGCTTCCGTGACGATGCATCTGCGTTGCCCTGCTTTTCTTTGTGTTTTATTTCTGAGGCGCGTCCGCTTTGACCTTGAACAGCCCCGCCGACTTCCGTGACGAAGTATCTGATATGACGCGTCGCAGCCAATGGGAATTGAAGGCTCGTTTTGCTGCGACAGACTTCGCTCTATGGGACAGTTAATGCTTTCGCATTTAAAATAACGCCATCCTGTGCTATCGCGAAATTAGCTGGTTCTAGCGGGCAACAAGCTCCGCCCATTGGACAAACTATTTCAGTATAAACGACTCTGTTATGTGCTACCCTGGTGCTTTCTCGTGGGCGCCACCACCGGTCAGTTAAGGTGATTGAAACTGGGTAAAGGTTGCCTGGGAGGCGCATGACAACTATCTGGAACGTCAAGTAAGACTTCCAAATTTCCTTCATTGTCCCTTTAAAGGTTACGCACATACCTCTATAAGATTCGGTACACAGACAGGAGAATCCATCCTTCTGGAGGTAGCAGACGCCCTGGTGCAGGCAGGGGTTAGGCTTGCAAGGGCTGCGATCACTGCCCACCCGCACTGCAGGTTCATCTCTGGCAGGTTCAGGCGCTTCGAGCCAGCCGAGGCCTGTGGGAACGAGACGCAATGTTGGGTCCTTTCCTCTGAAGAGAAGAAACCATTCAGTGATATGAAGACAACCGCAGCCTTGTCTGGTGTCACTAGACTCATGGCACCAAGCGACAAAACTCTCAAGTTCCTTCATCCTCTGCTCCGCCGGCTGTCGTTCGACAGTGCGAGGATAGACCTGACATCCATATAAGTTCACTGTACGATGAGTCTTAGCAGAGGGTTACATGAACCAACAAACATCCATGTGTGCGTCCATTATACGAGGGTGCTTAAAATTGAATCAACTCTCGATCAGAAATTTTAAACAAGGCAATTTGGTTTCCTTTGCTACGCCCCACTAGTCTTTTTGATTGAGCAGAGAACCCCACAACTTCTGTTAAGTTCTTATATATGAATAGATATTGAAAACATGAATATCGCACTGGACAAGAAAAGGTAGGCAGGACCACCACTAATCTGAAATTGGGTTTTACTTAAAAAAAAAGATAAAATAAAAACTGAAAAGCAAAAGCTGTACAAATTAGTGTTTGTGTGAACCAATTTTATCTTAGGCAGGTCTATCGAGAGTGAACCGATGCGAGCGGCTCCCTTGGAAAGGATCACTTTTGTCTCAAAGATTTCTCTTATCTCCTGATTGTGGGAACGGGTAAAAAGTAGGACTGGGCGTCGATTAAAAGTTTTTAACCCGACTAATCGCCACCCTTTAATCGATTAATTAACCGACTAAGCGCTTTCGTTCATTTCGGCTAATAATATTTTAAAAAGAAAAAATTCACTTTTTTCTCTTCTGTCGAAGCATTTGTACATTTATGCATGCCTCAGCTTTTAATGAAGCTGGATAAGTCCGGAAGCACACATGCAGTGGACTGCGTCCTTAAGGACGGAAAGTTGTTCAGGCTTAGGGGGCTTGTTGTTCACGACGGAGCGTGCTTTACACGGGATCCTTAGAGAAGAAGAATCCGAGGGTGGGTAAAAGTTAAATGTGTGGCTTATTTTGTCCCAATCTACCTGAGGTTGTGGTACACTAGGCCTTACGGGTTGCCATACCAAGAGATCTGAAAGGAGCGGTCTACGAGAGTCGTCATCGTCCTGTTGCCCATGGTCATCCTCAGAGGGAGGCTCATCAGGTTGAGGGTGGTCATCTAACCAACGCAAAATTCGATCCGCGGCCGAGGCCCAAGCGCCTTCTTCCTCAGAGTCAGAGGGGGAATCACAAGATTCAGTAAGGGGAGTGAGAGTGACATCCGCTGCCCGAAGGGCTTGAAGTAGTATGTCAGGCGGAGCTACGACGTCTTGGAGAACGGCTATGATTTGTTGGCCATTTATGCTGACAAGTATAGGTTGTGGATTGTCCAAGACGACGTCTAAGTTAGTGGTTACTTGATCCATCAAAGATAAAGTCTGTGGTGAAACGGCCTCAGGAGGGACACTCACCGGCAGGGTTGCCGTAGGGGTCGTTGATGCAAGCATTGGCCACGGCCATTGCACGAACACTCCGCGACCGCGGAATATGGGCATGGTCGTACATCGACAATTTCCTTTTAGTACACCCTGACCAAGTTTTTCTTTTAAGCCAAACGCAACTTTTCCTTAACGACCTCCATGCCTGCGGTTTCGCGGTAAACCCAAAGGAAGCCTTGATCACGCCGACGCGTGATATCCGCTTTTTGGGTTTTCGCCTTAACACTTACGACGACACGATTTCCCATATCCCCCAGCGCATTCAGACGCTCGACGACACTCTGCAGCTCCTTCGGACCCCCAGGTCCGAAGGCCAGGGCCTTGTACCAGCGTCTCGCCGGACTTTGGTGTTTTTATTTTTCGCTTTATCGTTCCGGGTATCATGCCCTGCGCCCCCTTTATGGTGCGTGTGAGTCTGCCGTCCCGCCACCTGTGAAGTGGAGAGAGACTTTTTTCTTTTTTGTGGAAGCAACTTCCCCACACTGTGGCTTTGGTGCGGCGGCCACCTTGCAACGTTCTTTCTGCCGACGCGTCCAACCATGGACTGGGGGTTGTGACCCCGACTGCCGCCCTGGCCATCCTGACAGCGCCAGCCCGGCGCATCTTCGAGCGCGAAGTCATCGCCTGGGCCATCGCGGCTCTCCTTGCGTCTCCACGCACCGTGATCTACACGGACAACCGGGCCCTTCGACTGGGCATCACTGCAGGCCGCCTTCGATCCCTGCCATGAGAACCTTGTGTTGTCTTTTCGTTTTTGACAATACAAAGGGAGCTTCGCTCTAAGCGGATACCTATACTGCCGCCAACCCCGCCGATGTGCCCTCACGACTACCGCACATCTTTTCCGCCCTCTCACTCTTGTGATTGGCTGAGGGCGCGCCGGCGGGACGAGGGGGTTGCCTCTGGTATAAAAGCCAATGGCGTAAAAACAAAAACAAAGCAAAAAAAAAAAAAAAAGAAAAAAAAAACAGATAAACAGCGCAATGTACAATTAGGCTTATGAATCAACCTTAATGTGTAGTTGAGAGCAGTTCTAAGACCACCCACACTAAACAGATTATTACTTCACTGTAGGTACTAAGAGGCTCGTTTATATTCTCCGGCAAGAGCGAGCTCCTTTAAAAGTTCAAAATAGTCCCTGTTGGGCTAAGCGGACACTCGCACGACGTTGAAGTGGCCGGGACAGGTATAACCTTCTGCACATGTTTTGAGTTACAAATGTCGCCTCACCAGTTTACTTTAGGTCAAAATTTTACCTAAAGTTTGCCCTAGATACAGGCGTACTCTTCCACGCCTGCGTGGTGAAATCATTCAATTTTTACTTTCTTTTGGTTAGTCAAATTTAACCGATTAACGGGTTGAGAAATTAATCTCGGTTAAAGCATTCATTGACTCATCGGTAGGTTAATCGATAAATTTCCCAGCCCTAGAAAAATAACAAGTTGGAGCAGAATACTATCGGCATTATAAGAGAGCCGCGTGTAAGAATCTCTAACTTCGATAATATTAGTGGAATATTTGATGGCCAAGGTTCCCCATGCGACGCAAATCGACTGATTATTTTCCGTAGAGCGCGCAATGAGTAAAGGGGCTTCGTCGGAATGGTCGCACATTGATACTTGTCGCTGACTTCAGAAAGGACTCGGAGTTTTATCTAGCATATTGCCCTTAGCGCTTCTGCCTATGAAATCGCAGCACATTGAGCTATGAAAATTTTGCTTGCAGCATTTCCGGTACTCCTATACACATGCATCATTTTGGCGCAAGACCTGGAGGTCTTCGACCCGATATAGTGGCATCTGGTTTCATCACGCTTGCCATCGCGAGGCGCTTAGTTTTTCGCAGTTGGCCGCCGCACTTTTCCCAGCGCTTTATGGGAAATTGTTTTTTGAGAAGTCGAAGAGGAAGAGGTGTTCCGCGTAAGTCCCTGTAGCATTAGAGCAACTTCTGAGGGCTTCTGTCAAAGCATTTGTACATTTGTACATGCCTCAGCTTTTAATAAAACCAATACATAAAAGGCACAAAGGCACAGAAGAAAAGAATAATAATTGTGGCAAAGAGTTGTTTTTAATTTTCTTAAAATGGAAGGCAAAGAAGCGTTTTAAATAAAAAAAAACTATTTTTGTTTAAATAATATAAAGCAAACTTTGAATAATGAAGAATACCTGCAGCTTTCTTATTTAAAGGGACAGTTCGCAGTTGAGACGGCACCACACTTGCAGGGTTCCCCCGTTTTGAACAACTGAGTGCGGTAGCGCTGTCTGATTTTCTCAGAAAATTCAGGATTACAAATAATTCGGTGATATATCTTCACTCCACAATATAATGCTTCGCAAAAAAGAAGAAGAAGAAAAAATTTAGAGGTGTACGATGAAATGAATTTGTTGTAAATCATTTGGAACTTGCCTAACTCCAGAACACATGAACAGATTGATGCCTTCCCGCTACCCGTCTTACACAAAAGCGAAGGCCGTAGTCCGTTGTTTTCGCGCATAAAATAGTTTATGTATATTTTTTATGCTTTCATTATAGAAAACGTCATAGCTGAAAATCATGATTTGAATAGTTTGAGGCATTTGTCGAACACAAAGAGTTATCATTTTCGTCCCAATCTTGTTCAAATATAATAAAATGCAAGAGAATTAAAGAGCTTCCTTTTTCATAAGTATCGACATTTCTTAGTTTTATGAAAAACACTCAGCTGAGACGCTCTTCAATCAACTTTAAAGAACCGCTGAAAAAAATTGTTTTTTTAAACAGTCTTTTTGGGACACGCGTGCCAAAAAATTAATTTTACGCGGTAAAAAAGAATTTTCGAGAAATATTGACTGCACGAGAAGCGATTTAGTCTGTAGTCACCTCCATTCCACCCGTTTTCTCTCTCGGCATTTCGGGCGCGTGGAGGAGAGGTGGATCGGCTTCGTTTTCACGTTGAGGTGGAGAGAGCCAATGACCATCTCGTTGAGGTCGAAAGAGCGAATGACCATTCCGTGACGTCATGGACTTTGCGCGCAGAATTTCAAATGTATCTGTCGCCGTCAATATTGCTCTAATTTTTTTCTTCTTCTTTTCAGGGGCCCTTAATGGGACGGCAATATGTGGTATTGAGATGCGGCGAAACGAAGGCCGTAGATCTGTCACATGACAGTAGATTTGCGCAAAATAGAAACAGCCGCATCAGAGCGCCCAGCTCCGTCCCGCCAGAACCAGTCATTAAACACCCATGTAGTAGCACCTGTACAGTTGTCGGCGGACCTGGCTCCCGCCTCAGAGAAGCTGTGTTTTGGGCATGGTTTGCAGCTCGTCTGTCCCTCGACGTCCTGGTAGTGGTTTTTGGGACACGGATGGCAGGCACGGTTCTCTTCGAAGGTTCCAGTGGGGCACTCAACTGCGCAAAGAAGGGAAGCACTGTTACTTAGAAGTCCAACACATACCTACGCAGCACCACCTATGCAGCGCAATAATTCCTAAAAGAATGTCATAGCCTCCTATGTTGGGCGAAAGCCTGCGAGGTCAGCGCCGGAACAATAGTCGGCTTGGCAGCCGTGAAAGATGGAGGAGAACGAGACAACACACGCAGCGCTAGGAAAATTGCGGAGGCCAACTTCGAAAAACTGCACGCCTCGCGATGACAAACGTGACGAAACCAGACGGCCACGATCACGGGCTCCATCAATGCAAGCCCGGTCTAAAGAGTGGCTTTTCTCACGGCCTTTGTTCTCGCTTAGAGGCTTGTTAAAACAGCGCTGTGTAAGTGTCCCTTTCTTTTGGTGTGACTGTGAACGTTGTCCTAGTGTTTGTTACGGGTGCGCTGTGTCCTTGTGCGCTTAGAGGCACAGAGATTTATTTTAGGCGCGTGAGGGCGCGGCCACGGTATCCCTTCCACTACTGCCTGAAGCACCCTGGGCCTCTGTCCCGACTAAAGTTCCCACAAAAGTGATTGAAAATATGTGCCGATGTGCTCATTTTAAATGACTACTGCGCCGACTGAAATATTTTTGGCTTACAATAAATAAACGATTGCTTATGGGAAATTGTTTTCTAAGAAGTCAAAGAAGAGGTGCTCCGCGTAAGTCCCTTTAGTCAGGCAGCCTCATGGCCTGTAGGTTCAATCCCTACCCTTACCTGTTTCGATCTGGATGAGCATCGTACCGGCGTGCGGTCGTATATCACTACTGAGTGGTGCACGATAAAGGCCCCAGGCTAGCGGTTCTACCGCACTGGCTAAATTGCTCATCTATAGCCGAGACACCACACGCCCAGTAAGGTAGACTAACTTCCGGCTGTATAAACATATACACGTCAATTTGGCCAGTAGTTCTAACTAGTCTGGAAATACTTCCCGCTCGACCCCGGAGCGAAGAAGCTCACACGGTTAGGTTAGGGCGCCTTCTTAGAAGAAGTTACCTCAATCTCACCAAACGAGTAATCCCAAGCAGGACACGCAGGTCGGTGGGGTTGCAGCGGCCTTACCGAGTTGTGGTACCAGCTACCCTACCGAGCTCTGGTACCCTCAAAGCTGGAGGTGTTGTAGTATATAGTTACATAAATAGAAAGAATAATAATTAAAAAAACAGCAAAACCTACAATACAAAAAAAAAAAACTTTAAATGTTAAGGCAGAAAAAAAAAAAAGGTTAGTCACGGCAGTTTGAAAACTCGCGCCATCAGGGCCGATGGCTTGGGGAAGGTGGTTCCACATTGTTGTAGTGCTGGGAATTGAATTGAATTGAATTGAATACACTTTATTCAGACAAACGTCTTGGAGGATAGGGCAAAAGGCGACTATGGTCGCCTGACAAGGGCCCGTCCCCCTGTACAGTCCAGCAGCAAAATGTACAGAAAAAAACGAATCAAAACAATTATATCATTACACAAGGCCACAGTGACATATACAAATTGTGATATAATAAAACAAACACATAAAAATACCAACACAAATTACATTAGACGTAGAAGAAAACTTCTTATGGTGGTTTTAAATGTGTGTATTGTATTAGAGCTATTAACCATGGACAGTATTTCAGGATGGTTATTTAATAATTGTGCGATCTGATTAAGTATTTTCTGACTACCATAATTCGTGCGTATTCTCGACTGTAGGTAGTGCGTATGGCGAAAGGTGTATGTGGACGCCCTGTTGACGTAATTCTCTTGCACGAACTCCGGGTGTAGCTTAATTTTGTGGAACATGTATATTGCCAATTTCTGAGTGATTGATTGTTCTACTGTAAGAAGGGAGTATTTGATGAAATATGGGCGGGAGTGTTCCCGATATGATACATTGGCAGTTGAGCGCACTGCTCTTTTTTGCAATAGAAGTCACTTAGATAAACAGGTTTTTGAGCATGTACCCCATACTAAACTGCAATAGCTTAAACGAGAATGAACAAGCGTATAATAGAGCTGGCGCTTTAACCAAACCGGAAGAATATATTTTAGCCTAATTATAATTCCGATTGCTCGTGATATGTCGGGTCGAATCCGATCAATATGATGAGACCAATCTAGATTTTCTTGAAAGGACACTCCTAAGAACTTGTGGTTTTTTGCGTAACCGATTTCAGTGTTCCTAAATCGAATGCTTAGTTTTTGATTAATATTTCTATTTCTTGCTCTAAATATAATATATTTCATTTTTTCAACGTTTATTTCTAATTCATTGCACGCCAACCACATACTTAACTCTATCATCCAGTTGTTCGCTAATGTTTCCAGCCGATCTATGTTCGTACCCGAAAAAAATACATTTGTGTCATCTGCATAAAGTATAATATCAGGAGTATGTGGTATGTTAACAATATAATTAATGTAATTTAGAAATAGAAGTGGTCCGAGGATTTATCCTTGGGGAACCCCATAATGTATATTAGCAGTTTCTGATTTTTTGCAACCAAGAGTGGTGTATCGGACACGTTCACAATGTATCATGAAAACGTGTAGCGTCGCAGGACGGGATGTCAACTTCTGACGGTCGTCTAGTTCGGTTTCGGCTGGCTGCTCCTCGTGACTTACCACAGTGTCCGGAGTCGTGGTCGATTGTGAAACCTTCGTTGCCGCACACCAGGCTGAACTGGGACTGCTGGAAAGACTGCTGCCACAGCTGACCGCCGACCTCAGCTATCTCCCGGTAAAACTCGGCATCGGACGTGATGATTTGGTGCGAAAGCACCTGGAGGTCTTCGATCAGACCCTCGGCCGGAGGCACGCCGTCGTCGTCGGAGTTGACGTTGTGCTTCGCCTGCGCGGGCAGAGAAGGGGGTCTCAAGGACAGATGGTCGTGACAGCTTCTCTTGTATCAACTGTGTGGTTGTCAGTGGTCAGAGCGCAGTCAAAGGCCTGAAGGGCGATTTTTACCCCGTTTTGTAGGAGCGTCGGCTCCTACAAAACGGGGTAAAAACCGGTTTTGTTGGAGCCGATGCAGCTGTTGCCATAGCGACCCTCGCACTCGGTCGGACTCAACACAGGTGTGTGAATCGCCCTTGAGCCCCTAGACTCTTTAAACACAAAGTTGGAGCCGAAAGTTTACGGAGCGCACATATTGTACTTTGGCGGCAAAAGTGATCGGTCATCGTTGCCGGAGTTCAATCGGCGCGCCCCGTAACTTTGATCCCAACCTTGTGTTTGGCAAGTCTAGGGCCCAAGAAGACCTACCAACACGTATACACCTGCTAAAACCACAAGGTCACGGCGCGCTCACGGCGCCTGATTGGTGTAGTCGATGATTCCACAAGCGCAGAAAGATGACGAACGCCGAGCCGCGATTCCGGCGCTGCTTGATTCGTCCCATCGGCGCATAGAGCGTAGGCTATGCTCTGACTTAAGGCTGGTTCACACTGCCCCGTTTTCTTACGTTACGTTCCGAAAAGTCACCGGGAAATCTGTGCTTCGTATTAAGCGTGGCTCCCAATTCAAGGAGATAGCCTGGCACGCGATATTCGAGACACGAAGGTTTCGGTGACTTAGACGTAACGTAAGAAAACGGTGATGTGTGAAAAGTTGAACCGAGCTCAACTCCTTACGTTACGTTACGACGAGCCTTGTGCCCTTGGTTGCCACGGTAACTCACCGTCCTAGCTCGTCATCACCGAAACATTCGTGTCTCAAATGTCGCGTGCCGCATAAAAAGTGACTGGTTAATTTTCTGTAGCGAATGTACCCCTTGATTACCGTTCCGAGAATCGAAGCAAGGAACGCATTCTCGTTACTTTCTGTCCGAGTAATCAACAATGGTACTTATTTCCTTCTTTCAGAACGTCTAAAACGCCTACTTTGTTTTAGCCTCTACTCGCACTGTGCTTCTGAAATGTCAGATAAGCGATCGAAACTGGAATACACAAAACAAGATACTCCCGTTTGGATCTAAGCCCGTCGACCCATTTATATTATTCGGAACGCTTTTATCTTTTGAGCCATCTGCAAACAGGAACAACAGAGTGTGTTTGAACCATCGTACGTTCTGCTTTTCAGGCTCTAGTGCATTTGTATTGTCTTGTTATACTTCAGCATATAATTCTAGAAAATTACAAGACCGATTTTTGCGCTAAACTACGGGGCGGTTAGAGAGAGGAGAGTTCGGTCTACAGTTTAAGACGGAATGTGTGCTTGGAAGCTTCAATACTCTACGAAACCTATCTAGATTTTGATCACAACATAACGAGAAACATATTTATATTTAAATATGTTTCCACAAAACCTTTCTCTCATGACTTCTTGAGTTGGAGCTGCCTTTTATCAGCCAAACTGGAGAGTTTAGCTTAATCAGAATACAACAATTTAAGGGGGACACTAAATATCATCAAAAATAATGATCGACCGATCTCCCCAAAATGCGGAGCGAAACCAATTTAATAGTTCTACAGTTACCCAATTCGGAGCCGAACCGTTATTTTCTTCGGAATCTGTACCTGAAAAACGATTTGCTTTGAGTTAACTAGCCTTTTCTAGAAGGGCCTATCGTGCGTGGCACATTGGCAATGCTACTTGGTTCACTTGAGTAGTCATGAGATAGACACCTGAATGGTCCAGACGACCTTCATGGCGGGGGAGTGAACAGAGGGATCGGACACGTTGCGAAACGTCTCGCAGACGAAAGTGATGTTGTCGCACTTGGCTTGAAGGCAGATGTCACCGGTCCGGTTTAGCAGGCCGGCGACCACCGTGGGCACGAAGTCCACGTGCAAGCTCTGGGCGGAGCAGTTGGGAAGCCCCACGTAGAACATGATGCTGCCCTCGAAGTATGTGGGGGAAGGTAGACCTGCATATCGGAAGCGAGACCTTAGACGTGAAACGCGTGGGAAGCGATAGAGCACGCGTCGAGACGCACGTGTGCACTGGGGCAGGTGTTTGAGTCCGTAAGCCTCCTGGAAGTCGAACAAGACGCCTTGCGTACATTCCACGTAGCCCCTCGACAAGAGCGGATACTCGTCTGTTGCTATGGTGTAGCCGTCGGCGCACCGGAAACGACAGGTGACCAGCCCCGCCCTTCTCCTACACATGATGTTGCCATTTACAGGAGCTTCGAGCGATAGACACCGGGACTCTGAAAGGAGGGGTAGCGAGTGAGCGGGCTGTCGCCGAGGGCGCGCATGCAGCCGGGGGAGTGCGGAGTCAAGAGGCCGTCGAGGGCCGTCCTTACTCACCCCTGAACGGCGCGAACTGTCTAGCGTTCACAACATAGTCGCATTGGGTTTCAGCCTGGCTTTTATTGTCTTTAGCCGTACAGCTGACGTTGTACGTGCCGGGACCGTGCAGGCTGCTGGGGGTGCACGTCACCACGGCAGCGTCGCCGGACGAGCTCACGAAATCTGGCGTCTTGAGCACGACGGGGAACGAGTCGTGTACTTGCTCCACGTCTACACAACCACTGCTCCACTCAGAGAGGCGGGGAAGAGTTTCACCTGCGTGGGCAATCGAATGGGTGCAGAAACGGCTAAAACCATCCCCAGTGTAACTACGAGTTCGTACCTTTGACTATTACCTTAAACGTACAGGATACAGATGTCTTGAGCTCCTGGTCCTCAGCTCGGCACTCGATCCGGTGCTCACCGAAGTCATCTAGTTTCCCCGGCGAACAAAGGACCTCCACAGGATCTCCCGAGCCTCCGCGGTACACGGGTGTGGGCACTGTCACATTGCTGAGGTCGTCGGTACCCACTTCGATGTCCACGCAGCCGCTCACTCTCACCGGGGCAAGCTGCTCTGCAAGTTCGTACCACTGCTGCTACGATCATCGACCTTAGGCTAACGGATTCGGCGGAGACGCGTGCCTACATACACCGCCCAACGTTTCCTGTTAACGGGAGACAATCTGGAGTGGAAGTGGCATGTTGACCGTAAACCTGTTTGCCACCAGGGAATCGCCTTCGTTGCGATCCTCGGAAGTAGACTCAGCCAGTCTAGGGGTTCAGGCAACTGTCCGGTAAAAATTAAATGATATGCGCCCCTTTCTCTCATGACCGGCAGAGAAAACGTATACTTTTTAGACAAATAAGGTAACATTACAATTTCAAAAAATTGGGTCTCTTCCACGTCTCTCATCGTAGATCAGAATGGTCGACCCAGTGAGAAAGCGGATGCTATAGCCTTCTTCGTAAACACTGATTATTTAAAAAAATAAACTACGGCACAACGCACGAAGACGGGGAAGGAATATGCTAGAATTATAGAAACGGCCGCCGATGGCGGGAGCGAGAAGAAGCTATACGAAAGACCTGCTGTCTTCTAGAAAGTTCTCTTTCGAGAAAGGACTACGCGCAAACATTTATAGACGTCACTCATTTGTCAGTCATCATATCCTCGAATAGCTGTGCTTAATTTGCTCTCAGCCAAAGTCTTAGAGTTACTGTTATTTTCTGATATAGAGTAAAAAAATCCCAAGAAAAAAACAACAACAACAATAAACAATGAGACAAGAAGCAGAGGCATGAAAACGTACTCCCTTGGAGTGCCTTAACATGGCAGCCGACATTTGCTATTCGAGACCTAGCTATGCCTCTAAACGAAATGTCGGCTCCCATCCTGAAGCACCAACTGAACCCCATATAACTAGTAAATAAAAGAATAACCCCCAGAAAACATAATCTTTGTGAGTAACCTGAATAGGTTTCTAACTCAATAAAAAGATCACCTATACTCAGATGTGAAACCGATTTGACTGAGTCCAGAGCCAGCTTATACCTATAATGTGCCTCCAACTAGTGTGTGTAGATAACCCTCAATTTAGTAACGTCCAGCCGTATTCACTTCGACTAACTAGCTTTGGTTGTAAGTTAGTAGCGCGTCTATTTAGTAGCCTGATAAATGTAGAATCGGCGACTAAAAAGTGACTAGGCCAGGCGGTATTCACGAGCGCGAAGCAAGCGTGTGATTATCTAGTCAGGAGTAACAAGCGGGAGTGACGTAAAAGTTTGCAAACGACCACACAAAATATGTTGAGATAGACAGTGGCAGCGGTTGCGTTTTTAAAAGATGTGTCTCAGTATATTTGCCTTCGGAGCTTTCGTAGTAGAATAGTTGTCGGAGATGTTCTTTGGGAAATATGAAAGGCGCTTACGCGCTGCCTCTCGTGCGTGATAATCAGAGTCCTGCACCCTTTTTCGGCTCCTCACAAGGAGAGCGAATCTCGCATGGCCTGGTCAGGTCTGATGGGGAGGGCGGTTGCGCGAGCACTGGGTGAGGCGCCGAAGGCCTCTAAACCAACAGTGCCCCTTCGGAAGATGAAGTCCGAGCAAACTTTTGCCGCCTTGGCTGACCTTGTTCAGACATCTCTCTTTTCTTCCACCGTGGCTTAAACGCCCCATCTGTGCACGTTGCACAGATGGCGCGAACAGTCAGATATAGTATAGCTGAAAATACATGACATCTGCTGTCTCCATCTTCGACGCTGAGCACGTCTGTGATGCCAAGACCCACGACTTGCGTTGCGACAATCTCACACAATGAAGAATTGTAACTTGGCGCAATATAGCCTTAGTTGCTGATGCGCCATAAACCCCCAATCAATCAATAAATCAAGCAGAATTGTAACGTCATGCGCATCATGCGAGAATTGCAAACACAGCAGTTAGATACGTCCTCCAGGCACCCGGTGTCCTATTGCCAGCAGAATAATATGGTAACAATGAACATACGTATTATTAATAATGCATCGTATATGCAGTTTTTTTCAATTCTTACACATTTGTTGAAAGAAAACCGTGAAAGCTACACTAATGCGGTTTTTCCAGGTCGGTTATACGGCCAGGCGGACATAATGTGGGTGACTAACCTTTGCGATAAGTCGGCTAATTAATTAAAATTCGTTAATTAACTTCTTAATTAATGTAAATATACATATATTTCCAATTTGAAACTTGCTCAGCATCATCGAAAACCACTAAATCAACTAATTTTATAAAGATATCGTGCCGGGGCAGCATTTTACGGCGTTCTGTAGAAACGCTCGATGTGGACGCGTTTCCAGATTTCGGTTTCTTATCGGAGCGCATCACGGCGCCCCCGGTCCTGCTCCCTTGTGGTTGAGACGCGCAACACACGTGCGCCCTACTTCCCTCCATTCTACAGGGGGGGCGAAAGGGTGGCGTCGCGCCGCGACCACCGGGGAGCAGGACTGCGGGCGCAAAGATGCGCTCCGATACGAAACCGAAATCTAGAATCGCGTTCAAATGAAGCGTTTTTACAGAACGTTGTAAAACGCTGCCCCGGCGTTGTATCCTTCAAAAAATAGTTGATTTAGTGGTTTTCGATGATGCTCAGCACGTTCTTAATTGGAACTATATGTATATTTTCACAAATTAAAAGTTATTTAACGAATTTCAATTAATTAGCCGACTTATTGTAAAGATTAGCCACGCACATAATGTCCGGCCTGGCCGTATAACCCACCTGCACAAACCGCATTAGGGTAGCTTTGACGTTTTTTTTTAAACAAATGATTAAGAATAAAAAAAGCAAAGAAAACACCCTATACATATATATATATATATATATATATATATATATATATATTCTACCGGGCGCACAGTTCCTTAAATGCAGGCTTTATGTCTCTTCTGTGTCAAGCACTCGACTGCACCACGGAGGTCCTAATCGATGTTTCTTTTTATTCTTTATTCCCACCCACTAAAAGAGAAAGAAGACTTACTTTGGCAGAGATGAATGATATCATTGCTCCAGGTGCCGTTGGACAGACATATTTTTGTGGACCACTCTTGCCTGCCTTTGGGAATGACGTAGCCCGGCTGGCAGTTGTGCTGGCACACGTCGCCCACCGGATGAAATCGGTCCTCAGCTGCGTTGCGAACTTCCGAGCAAGACACTAGGCTGAAGGGGTCGCTCGAGAGCGGTGGACATCCGGGAGCTGCACGATCGACATTCTGGGTGTACAGAGACGTTCGATAGAGGGTCATGCGACCCAACCATCGAGAGAAAGAGAGGGCTCCAGAGGTTTCCGCTTACCCTCCACAATGACACTGAAGGTGCAAGAGGACACAGTTCCCAGCTCTGCGTCTGTGGCAGTGCAGCTACTGACGTGCGTTCCGTAGGCGATCACTTGAGGCAAGCTGCAGTTGACCGCAGCTTCGGTATCGTTGAACGCTTTGAACACAGGCGTGGAGACGGGGACAGGAAAGGACACGGTGAGATTGTCTACAACCACGGTGTAATCCTGGCAGCCCCGGGAGAGTTGTGGGTTCTGATGCTCTGTGTGATAGAAAGACGAAGGTGGAGGAAAGGGATTAAGCTAACTTTAGAAAATATACTAAAACTAAGAAACTCGTTTTTTGTTTTTTTATTCTTACACGGGCTGCCTCTCGTGCGTGATAATCAGAGTTCTGCGCCCTTTTTCCGCTTCTCGGACGGAGAGCGAATCTTGCATGGCCTGGTCAGGTCTGATGGGGAGGGTACTGCACCGAGCCCTGTGCGAGGCGCCGAAGGCCTCTAAACCAACAGTGCCCCTTCGGAAGATGAAGTCCGAGCAAACTTTTGCCGCTTTGGCTGACCTTGTTCAGACATCTCTCTTTTTTCCCACCGTGGCTTGAACGCCCCATATCTGCACGTTGCACAGATGGCGCGAACAGCCGGACATAGTATAGCGGAAAATATATGGCATCTGCTGTCTCCACCTCCGACGCTGAGCACGTCTGCGATGCCGAGAACCACGACTTCCGTTGCGACAATCTCATACGATGCAGAATTGTAACGTCATGCATCATGCGAGAATTGCAAACACAGCCGTTGGATACGTATTCCAGGCACCCGGTGTCCTATTGCTTGCAGAATAATATGGTAACAATGAACACACATATTATATATAATGCACCATATATACAGGGTGTTTGTTTTTATTCTTACACATTTGTTAAAAGAAAACCGTAAAAGCTACACCAATGCGGTTTTTGGAGGTGGGTTATACGGTCAGGCGGACATAATATGGGTGACTAATCTTAGCGATAGGTTGGCCAAGTAATTCAAATTCGTTAATTAACTTCTTAATTAGTGTAAATAGACGTATAGTTTAATTAGAAACTTGCTTAGCATCACCGAAAACCACTAAATCAACTATTTTAGAAGGATATCACGCCGGGTCAGCATCTTACGGCGTTTTGTAAAAACGCCCCATTTGGACGCGTTTCCAGATTTCGGTTTCTTATGGGAGCGCATCACGGCGCCCGCGGTCCTGCTCCCTAGAGGTTGAGACGCGCAACACACGTGCGCCCTACTTACCTCCATTCTACAAGGGAGGCGAAAAGGATGCGTCGCGCAGCGACCACCGGGGAGCAGGACCGCGGGCGCAAAGATGCGCTCCGATAAGAAACCGAAATCTAGAAGTGCGTCTAAACGAAGCGTTTTTACAGAACGCCGTAATATGCTGCCCCGGCGTTATATCCTTCTAAAATTAGTTGATTTAGTGGTTTTCGATTATGGCCAGCAAGTTTTTAATTGGAACTATATGTCTATTTTCGCTAATTAAAAGTTAATTAACGAATTTTAATTAATTAGCCGACTCATCGCAAAGATTATCCACCCACATAATTTCCGCCTGGCCGTATAACCCAGCTGCACAAACCGAAACCGCATTAGTGTAGCTTTCACGTTTTTTTAAAACAAACATGTAAGAATAAAGAAAACAAAAACACCCTATATATATATATATATTTTTTTTTTTCTACCGCGCGCACAGTTCCTTAAAGGATTACTACAACAAAATTTCGGCGCTTATTTTATGATCTAGATGTGTTCAAAGGAGCTGTATCACATCGGACACACCAATATCTTGTTAAAAAAGACACAGAAAGGAATTTTAAAACGAATCAAGCGATAAGCAAAGAGCACCTGGTGGATGTCGCTAACGCCTCGTTTGTAGTGCCCGTCTAGGAACCTTGAGAGGTAGTGACGCTTATTGTCTCGCCTCCGGCCACGACGAGAGAAGAGGGGAAGGAGGAACTCCCCTCTTCACGAGAATCCCTTTTGTGTGACCATGACGTCGCTATTGTCCCTCTACAAGATTACAGAAGATAAACCCGTCACTCAAAATTCGTACAAAAGCAGCCGCTTCGGTGGCTGGAACGACTAGGACATCCTCTCGACGTCAGCCTCGCCATAGCTCCGCTCGTCCCGAGACGAACTATGTCACGATTGCGTCGGATGTCACGTGCTCTAAGGTGGGCCCTTCTCCAAGCCCTTGCCAGAGCGAGCCGTTTTTAACGAAAAATACAGCAACCAGGCTCAAAATACCAACGTGCGATTGTCATTTACAGATATTGTAGATCATATTCAAGCTATTTTTGAACACGACGGATATATTTCAAATTTCGTTGAAGTATCCCTTTAAATGCAGGCTTTATGTCTCTTCTGTGTCAAACACTCGATTGCACTACGGAGGTCCTAATCCATGTTTTGTTTTTTATTCTTTATTCCCACCCACTAGAAGAAAAATGAGACCCTTACTTTGGCAGAGATGGATGATGTCATTGCTCCAGGTGCCGTTGGACAGACATATTTTTGTGGACCACTCTTGCCTGCCTTTGGGAATGACGTAGCCCGGCTGGCAGTTGTGCTGGCACACGTCGCCCACCGGATGAAATTGGTCGTCAGCTGCGTCGCGAACTTCCGAGCAAGACACTTGACTGAAGGGGTCGCTCGAAAGTGGCGGACATCCGGGAGCTGCACGATCGACATTCTGGGTGTACAGAGACGTTCGATAGAGGGTCACGCGACCCAACCATCTAAAGAGACAGGGCGCCAGAGGTTTTCGCTTACCCTTCACAATGACACTGAAGGTGCAAGAGGACACAGTTCCCAGCTCTGCGTCTGTGGCAGTGCAGCTACTGACGTGCGTTCCGTAGGCGGTCACTTGAGGCAAGCTGCAGTTGACCGCAGCTTCGGTATCGTTGAACGCTTTGAACACGGGCGTGGAGACGGGGACAGGAAAGGACACGGTGAGATTGTCTACAACCACGGTGTAGTCCTCGCAGCCCCGGGAGAGTTGTGGGTTCTGATGCTCTGCGTGATAAAAAGACGAAGGTGGAGGAGAGGGATTAAGCTAACTTGAGAAAATATAGTAAAACTGAGAAACTATAGTCCGTTGCAACCTAAGAACGAAGGGCGAGGGTAAGACGGGCCGGGGAGGAGGAAGCAGACGGAACGCTAAAGAGAGAAGGAGGTTTCCCCCTCTCTTCTCCAGAGTTCCGCCTGCTTCCTCCTCCCCGGCCCGTCTTAGCCTCGCCCTTAGTTCTTAGGTTGCAACGGACTATAGAACACTATAAGTTTCCTTGTCACGAAAGAAGACAGACGCGTTTAATAAAAAAATCAGATTCTTGGACCTCAGAAGTCTGTTCCCCTTTTGACAGCAGTTAGAACGCAACGAGGGACATTTGGGACTTTTAGCAAACCATTGTAGTGTTCCGCGTACCGCAGTACGGAGCCTTTGAAGCATGCTTTCAAGCGCGCGCCCGGGTGATACCGTGACCGCGTGGCACGCGCTTAAAAGCATGCTTCAAAGGCTCCGGTAGTGCGGTACGCGGAACGCGATAACGGTTTGATAAACGTCTATTATCCTTGGCTTCCTCTTCTTCTGCTCTGAAGAACCGTAGAGTCTCAAACCTAAAGTGGCTTAGGCACTTCACGATGCTTACTGCCGTGTTAGGCCGTCGAGGAAACAATCAGAATTGGTAATAGTAGCTAAAAAATATTTTTATCGTCTCGTGAAGGGACTAATCCCGTTTCCTCTCAAAGGGTAACTCCGCTCCACATTTTCGATTTTGAAGTTATGGCAGTTTTTAACTAAGCTTGCATTGCTGAATCCCGTGGTAAACGTTCTGATCGGTATTGTATATAGATAGTTTTGTAGAAATCTAATTTCATAATTTTGCTTCGGGGCTCACCACGAAATCAAAACTGCCAGCTTGAAGGGACGGCAACACTGGCACTTGGCTGCCATGTGACGTCACGATCGTAGCGTGAAACATTTGGAGGTCTCATTTGCACAAATAGATTTAAGAATGAGAGAAGTTTATTTTAATTTACTGTTTTTCTCTATAGATACACAGTCCGTGTAATAAACATTAAAGTTAATTTATAAAGTTGACGATCGAAGGTGAGTTCGACCAAGCTTAATTAAAAACACAATTTTATTATTGGTGCAGTGCCGGCAGCATGGCTATTGTGGCCGCATTGCTTTACCTATCTTTTTGCTTCTGAACAAGAAAATTGGAAGCTATAGGTATCTGAAAGCGGTTTAAGAAGTTAAAGGTTAAAACCGCTGCATCCCACGGTCAAGCGGCAGGGCGGCAACAGCGACTATAGAACATCATCCTTCAGTCTCTTGTTTTTTGCGGAGAAACCAGCCGGAGACGCAACCCAAAATCTCGTTTGTAGCTAACCGGCCTAAACTGATAAGAACGAAGTTTTAATAGGACCTTTCGCTAAATTATACCCTATTTACCCGATCATAAAGGTTCCTTTAGGTAAGGGACCTTTAGGGCCAGCGGCGAATCAGTTCGCGATGCTCCGCGCGTGACAAGTGCTCGCGACCCAAGAGAGCGGACTGATTCGCCGATTGCAAAGGGACCTATGTTAAAGGTACCTTTAGGCTGGCCGTGTGAATGGGGCATTAATCAAGCATGAAAGATCATGTGGGAACGTAGGTAGACGCGATGCACGTGCTCACCTTCTATATAGAAAAGATTCGAAGTAAAAACCCAAAATAAAGCGTCCGTGGAACGCGCGTGCGAAGTGCCATTTCTTTTAGATTTTTGCTTTCGAACAGTTAGAGCTGGAAACGCCAGCACCCGCAGCACCTGTACCCACTTTCGTCAAGATGTTTACTTGGCACTATATTTCGTTTCAAGTCCAGACGCAGCCGATGCAAAAGCGCGAGCTCCGGGCTTCCAGCGTCCCTGCCAAGCACGAGCGCTCGTGCTGTGCGAGCACTGTTCAGGCCTGCATGCTCGCGCTCGTAGCATCGACTGCGTCTGAACTTAAGCTGCAACGAAGTATGGAAGTGCGCGGCATTCTGGAGTCCATCCAGTGAACGTCATCGTGGAGAGCAACAGCGCAAATCGACGAGGACACAACAGGGAAACGCACAAGGGAGACAAAAGACACACTTAGAGCTCTGGTATATTCATCTTGTACAGTCTCCGGCAATATGAAAGACCCACAGGGATCGCGTGGCCGAGGCGGTGGCTGGCGGGGGCGCTGCGAGCGCTCCGGGTAATTCCATTCTGCTTCGAGGGAAGGACGCTCACTCGGGCTCAGTTAAAGCGCAACGCGCTTATCAGTTTGTGCTGAGCCCCGAGTGAGCGTCCTCCCCTCGAAGCAGAATGGAATTGCCCGGAGCGCTCGCAGCGCCCCCGCCAGCCACCGCCTCGGTCACGCGCTCCCAGTGGGTCTTTCATATTGCCGGAAACTGTACTTCCTCAAGGTAAGTAAACAAAAATAGTAAAAAAAAAAAAACTGAAATTGTCACGTCATAAATCACAAACTACGTCAAGCATTCATATGAATGGCATCGACTGACATCTTTGATGTAAATCGCAGAAAAAGTGATTAGTCGTTAGTTGTTTATACAGCGGGAGGTAGTCTGCAAAACATGGCGATAAGGTTACCCACTGTAGATGAGAAATGTAGCCAGTGCAGTGCAACTGCTAGCCTGGGGTCTTTAACGTACACCAAGCAGTAGTGATACACAACCACACGCCGGTACGATGTTCTAAATCGGACAAAAAAACTTACAGAAATATATTAAAATAGCTATGGTAAAGGTGAAGTAAGAGGAAGACGCTGTAGCGAACGGCCGCTTTTTCTTACTATCCGTGGATTCCGACAATTGAGACCGACGAACCGAACGAGGTCTTCAAGTTTACAGCACCTACCGATAATACTGCCAAAGGCTTCTTCCGTCTTCTGGCCGTCACTAGAGGTGACGCAGCCCACAATTCTCAGCGTACCCGTCCGGCCAATTAAACCCTTCGGCTCTCACACATCGCAAGGTATGGCCGAGCAACTGGCCCATAATAAAAAAACGCTTAAGGGGCAACATCAAAAGAGGAACTTAAATCGACGTTTCTGAAAGTTTTAGACGAGCAATTTTTGACAAAAAAAAAATGCAGAAAACCATAAAATTCATGGCTAGAAAAGCCGAAAAAGCTAAGCCTAAAGACAACTCCACCATCTTGCAATCAACACCTGACGGCGAGAAAGGTGCAAAACAACACGCCACTTTAGGATAGCAAACAACCCTTGCGCCACCATTGACATCACACGCAACACCTTTTACCTCAACAAGCGAGCCGACATCAGAAACTTGCTTGAGGCAGGAGATAAACTTCCGTGGTTAACTATCACCAAGAAGAAGTGTTTAAAAAAGCCAGTCACACTCCAGGGATCCCAAGGCAAATCCACGCTCAAGGGTTCTGAGATGCACTACACCATCAAGATCGGGCTAAGAACTAAGAGTCTTCATGGATATCCTCAGTGTTGGGAAGTACTTTAAGCATGTTGTACTTAAAGTACTACATCAGGTAGGTTTAGTAAACTTGTACTTTACTTGAAGTATATTCTCTGAGTACGTACTTGTACTTAACTTAGAGCATGTTTTTTTCTGGCACTTTCCGAGGAAAGAACAACTCCCGACTTCAACGTGCATTCCCCAAATTTGTTTTTGTTAAATTTGTACCACGAAATGATTATTTGTCAACTCTGAAGAAATACTGGGAGGGATATTCTACTCTCACCAGAAACGTGAGCAGACGATGCATTGCTCTGTTTGTTCTCGGGGTGGCTTTCTCGTAGCTCTTTGAACTCTACTACTTTTCTCTCCGTCAGCACAAGCGAGAAGGTTAAGATATTAGGAGAGCGAAATTATTCATAATGTAACATTGAGACAGTGGTGCGGAAACATGAAAAACTTTCAAGCCGAAGAAAAAGACAACAAAGAGAATGTCTCAATGTTTTAAGACGTTCTGTGTTGTATTTTCCTTCTATACTTGTGAGTTCACCAAATTTTTTTTTCGCACCACCATGTCAGGCATTACATTATGATTAATTATTACCAGCTCGCCTACACACTCACTGATTTTAGTTAAGGAGAGGATACTCATTTAGAAAAGGATTGCTTGTGGGAACTACGGGGCTGACGTTATGTTCTCTGCTAGTACGTTTAATGGGCGATTCACACAGTTGCGTGAGTCCGACCGAGTGCTGCTGCAACGGCTTGCGACGTTAACCCTTTTACGGGTTGCTCTGGAGACGGGATTTTAAGCCGCTTACAACCGCCCCGTTGCCATAGCAATCCTTAAAAAGATTAACGTCGCAAGCCATTGCAGTCGCACACGGTCAGACTCACACAAGTGCGTGACCCAGCCTTAACCCACCTGGGTGGAACAAGCCACTGGAAGCAGCGCTAAATTCAAAAGTCGGAGGGACTTCTGAGTTTGGCACCATTTCTGAAAATAACTACTCTGCTGCCATTTGATTTTATTCAATATTCGCTGCCGTTTCCGAAAATAAGTCATGCACCGCCGATTACACCTGGGGCAATGTATACCAGTTAAAAAATCACTGTATAGGCTATGGGGGAATGAAAGGGCATAATGAAAGATTGTGTTAAAAGGTACATCTAATTTCACTTTGAAAGTACGTTGTGTTTGTAGTGCTTTACTTCAAGTACATTGCACCAAGTTTACTTACTACCTTACTTCAAGTACATCACATCTCATTTACTTTGTACTTTACTTAAAGTTTTTATTGGATGCACTTTCCAACACTAAACATCTCCAAGGAAGCCATACATTAGCCGTTGTCGAACGTTCTCGGCAGGAACCTACAAGAGGCCTCACACAATGTTTTCAAAAATAGCTACACAATTTCAGTCAGAACAACTCTAGAATCTACTGCTCACTTCTTACTTGGCATGACGGAAATGCCGATCCCCAACGGTTCTCCTATCCCGGCTAAACCCTTTCAAACCATGAGGGAAACCGGATCAGATGTGCCATGTTTAACGTAGACCCAGAAGAAGACAACGCCTTGCTCAGGGTAAAGCGCGAATCTCAAACCCTCACCATATCTGCCCGTCTCATGGGAAAGAAAGGTCGCACGGCGCTCATCACGTTCCAAAAGGAGAAAAAAAAAAAGCTTTTGAGGTTTGTGTAAAACTCTTGCTCCATCATGCAATTTGCCCACAAAGCGAAGACAGTAACCTGCAATAACTAACAAAGTATTCTCCACAAATCAGACATATATGCCCCGGAGATGCAATCTGCTGATCGTGCCGAAGGTCACACGAGGAAACTCAAAATGACAAAGGTAACTGCAACGCATGCCCGGACCTGGGGCCTTTTCGCCAGGTGTTCTAGAAGACCGGAAACCTGTCAACAGGCAAGGACTGAGCAAAAAAGGTAAAACTTACCAAGAAGGAACCAAAAGCAAGAACAAGCCCAAAGCTTTACAACCCCCAAAAGCAAGGCGCCCCCTCCCCATTCACACCCGGTATGGAAGACTGGTCAGAAGCAACACACCCTCGGCTGGCACGGCGAATTCGCCAAGGAGGAAACTGCAAAGGCACACCTAGCGAGGGTAGAGTTTAAAATTCGGCAGCGACACTTAAGACTGCTTACGTGTGGGAATGCGAAAGGCGTTATAGTCCCTTTGGTGAAATGTTTTCGACTGATGTTTTCGACATGCAATAAAGTTCATTCTGCTGATTCAGTGTGTGTGTTTGCGGATACGTTGGCCAAAGACCGGAAACATTCGGACCATTTTGCTGCAGAGCGATGAATTTCATTGTGTTCTCTTGCTTCCTCTTAGGTGTACATCCTTGGGCGACCAGATTTCACAGCTGCCGCTGAGGCAGACAGACGCTTCAGAGTCCATCGCAGTAGAGACAGCACCGATGAAAATCCGAAGAGGAAGTGACGCGCGGGAAGCAGCGTGCTCATTTTATACACTCATGACGTGGCGTCCAGAGTCCACCGCAATAGACACAGCACCGGTTAAATCCGAAGAGCAAGTGATGCGCGGGAGACAGCACGCTTATTCATCACCTCCTAGACAGCAAAGCCTGCGCGTTACGTCACACGACGTCACGTCCGGGAGGCCGACACGGGCGCTGATTGGATGCGAGTGCCGCATCAGCGTTCGCGTGGGGCTCGTTTCCTATCATAGTCCCACGCGAACACTGACGCGACACTCGCTTCCAATCAGCACTCCCAGGTTTCCGAGCCGCTCATTTACATCGCACAAGCCATCCAGCAACGATGGCGCTGATAATCACCCAGTGGAACTGCACACGTCTGGGACTCCATGGCGCAGAGCTCAATACCCGACACCTAAACAAAACTTGCCAAGTACCGTGGTGCGCTTCTGTTACAAGAGGCAAAAGATGACTCTATCAACCTCACTGAGTACAAATCCTAGCAACCCCAATCCTCAACGAGAAATGATCAGAGTCTTCGAGTGAAACTGCCAGGGGTTCCGGAAACGAGTGGCGGAGCGCCGAGTCCGCTTTTTGGATAGACCTGACGAACGTCCTAACGTACTCCTAATTCAGGACACGAACTTCACGGCCATTAACCTTCGTGGATTTTCAATATACTCCAGCCCCCTATAACATCCAAACGCCCAGGCCAAACCACTTACCCTGCAGGGAAAGCTCTCGGCTACGCAAGGAATGACTGACCCAAGCACCAAGGGTGCTATGTTGCGCTTTTTGCTCTCCCAGGAGACTTGGAAGAGGGAAGTGACGTCAATGACTAGAGCAAATGCAGATTGGATGTTGACAGAAGAAAACAAAATCAACATCCAATCTGCATTTGCTGCGTTGTTGACGTCACTTCCCTCTCCCTAGTCTCCTGGGAGTGCAAAAAGCGCAACATAGCCCCCCAAGTCGATCACAACCCTTACCGCTCATTCACACTGACAGCGGATCCGCGTTCGCAAAGCGGTTGCGAACGCGGTTGCATAAAGATCCAGTACAATTGCACGCGCCCTCGATGATATCAAGTGCGCGTGCGATTGTACTGAATCATTATACAACCGCGTTCGCAACCGCTTTGCGAACGCGGATCCGCTTCCAGTGTGAATGAGCGGTTACTGCGCCGATGGACAGGAAATTGTGGCGGTGCGGATCTCGGTCCAGCAGCAAATCTTCGTCCTCCTTCATATACTGCAGACCACTCCAATCCACGACATAGACAAAAGCCCACCTATGGATTGCCCATCTCCACGATCTGTACCCCGAAGAACAGAAGCTCTACGGAGGAGACTTTAATCTCCACCAACCTCTGTGGGACTACAAGCGAGACTCCACGGGAGCGGAAGACTTTGTTGGCGAGATGCAAACCTTCCGCGTAAAGCTCCTAAACAAGAAGGGAGCCAAAACAAGCCTAGGAGGTTTTTGGCAGTCGGATAACACTCCCGACCTCACTTTGATCACAAAGCCGTGCATTCAGCAGCATAAATGTGTCCCCTCGGATACGTGGGGCAGCCACCAGTTCCGTATTCGCTTCGAATTTTCGCAAACGAGACGGATAACGGAAAAAATAAAGAAAAAACAAAAACGTACGACTACACCGAACACTGGGACAAATTCAGGGAAGTTCTTAAGCGCTGAGTTCGAAGACGCCGGCTCTGAACCCCGCCTTAACAGCACCCTGAAGATTACAAAAATCAAAATGGACGTCGACGAAGATGCTACAACACCCGACCTCCATCTTTTCACGCTCTGGGCCAAAATACTGCAAGCGGTACTAAACTATACTGCAAAAGGCTGAAAACCTCTCAAAGCAATAATAACATCTCCAGGGCTACGGTGCACGGAAGCGAATGTCTACGCAGAAAATCTTCTTAAAACTGATGACTTGACTACAGCACACCCCCCTCAGAAAACGTCAATAACGAAACTGTGGCCCGCGAATCGCGCACTTCTCAGAAAGAAGAAATGCAAGGGGCAACGCTCACACTCGCCCTCAAGCTCAATAAGACGGAGGGTCAAGTCGTAGGAGTGGCAGGGATGCTCTTGTTTCCCCAGCCCTGCATAACGAATTAGTTCGCGCTTAGTTCGCCGCTTTATGGAGCTGCCAGTAGGGATCGGTCGACTATCGCGTGTTTATCTTCATATAGATCGCGACTCTACCGAGAGCACAGTTCTTTCTATTCGGGGTTTATGACCTTTACGTGTCAGGAACGTGATTACACCCTGAAGAACCGTTGTTTATTCGCATCTACTAAAAGAGAAAGTAGACTTACTTTGGCAGAGATGAGTGATGTCATTGCTCCAGGTGCCGTTTGAGAGACATGTTTTCGTGGACCACTCTTTCTTGCCTTTGGGAATGACGTAGCCCGGCTGGCAGTTGTGCTCGCATACGTCGCCCACCGGGTGAAATTGGTCCTCAGTTGCGTTGCGAACTTCTGAGCAAGACACAAGGCTGAAGGGGTCGCTCGAAAGTGGTGGACATCCGGGAGCTGCACGATCGACATTCTGGGTGTACAGAGACGTTCGATAGAGGGTCATGCGACCCAACCATCGAGAGAGACAGGGCTACAGATGTTTCCGCTTACCCTTCACAATGACACTGAAGGTGCAAGAGGACACAGTTCCCAGCTCTGCGTCTGTGGCAGTACAGTTGCTCATGTGCGTTCCGTAAGCGATCACTTGAGGCAAGCTGCAGTTGACCGCAGCTTCGGTATCGTTGAACGCTTTGAACACAGGCGCGGAGACGGGGACAGGAAAGGACACGGTGAGATTGTCTACAACCACGGTGTAATCCTCGCAGCCCCGGGAGAGTTGTGGGTTCTGATGCCCTGTGTGATAGAAAGAAGAAGGTGGAAAGGAGGAGGAAAGGTGTCAGCGATTGAAGATAACTTTCTAGCGATTGGCGTTTAGCATCAACCAGGCGGCGCCGACACTCCGTGCCTGGCAGCATAATCTCCAAACACGGTTTCGTACCCTTGAGGCGGTAACGAAGTTACCGCCTCACGGTATTACCATTATAATGGAAACATCAGGCAACGTCTGGTTCGTTCCATGCCAGCTGGGACCATCTCTTTTTTTTTTTTTTTGGTGGCACTATTGGGGTGGGTATAAACTAACCACAACGCAGCGCAATTTATATTGCGAAAAGTTAGTGCTGGAAGCGCTCAAAAGTCTTTAATATCTGAAATCTCCACCTTGGTCCCGTGTCCGCGGACTACCGCCCCAGGAGTTACACCGAAGGAACAAGCCACAATCCCACTAAACCTCCCGACCACCGCAAACAGATCCTGGACTCTGCTTGCTTACGTGCGAGAGGGCGACCTCACTCTGTGCATCACCTATCTTTTCACCCATTCCTCTCACCTCCCCCCCTCCCCCATTTTTTTTTCTGGCTCAGATAGTCAAGAGAACCTGAGTGTTTACCCTTTACAATGTTGAGAGAAAGAGGTAGAGAGAAAGAGATAGAGAATGCCGGAGGCCTATAATGATATTGCCAAGTCACCACTATCTTCATAAATGAACACGGACGCGTTCGACAGACAAACTTTTTGGCTCCTTGAAGCCAATTTTGTTTCTGGCGGAACCTAGAAGAATATGAGAAACATTGAGGTTGGCTTCTGCTTGTTTTGTATGGAGATTCATGGGAAATAAAGATCCGAAGTGGCTGCTTAAAGGCCTGTTCACAGATACAGCGGAGCGCTAAGTTAGCGCTACGTGAGCGCTCGAAGGAGCGCTCCTGTGGCGCTTCCTAGCGCGTGACTTCGTTCTTATACAGCGCGTGGTTAGCGCTTTAGTAGCGCCTTGTTAGCGCTCCAGTAGCGCCTTGTTAGCGCTCATGTAGCGCCTTGTTAGCGCTTCAGTAGTGCCGTGTTAGCGCTTCAGTAGCGCTTCTGGTACCGTGGTGCTGCGGATTAGCGCGTGCACTGCGGTTCCGGTTCCTGTGGTTGGGTGTGCATCAGCAGCACCATGGCGGACATGTGGGATGCTGAAATAGAAATGAGACAAATGCTCTTAGATGCGATTAGTGCATATTTGTGCGGACGGCTTAACGCCCAGAAGAGCCTCCTGGGAGCGCGAAATCTTTCGCCACCGAGATACCCACGGGTACCCGGCGAACCTTGTTCCTAGGCTGAGGGACCGAGACACAGAGCTCTTTCGAAGGTGATTATTTTGAACTGCGTGTCTTTGAAACCAGGGTCACGCATATCGAATAGGAAGCGATGAGGTTGTACCCAATCAATTAGTCGCTCAGAGTTCATGACTCTGGATCGCCTGCCCGACCCTTTGCTTGGAGAGGGACCCTTTTACTTCATCTTCTTTCAATGCCAAAGGAAAAACAACACAAAAAAAAAAATCGCCGTGCACGCGCTGTTCCACAGCAGCAAGCACGGCACAAGGAGCGTGGGAGCGCTAACAAAGCGCTTCTGTAGCGCTAACAGAGCGCTAAATAAGCGCTAACAGAGCGCTGCTGAAGCGCTAACCGAGCGCTACATCACGCGCTAGGAAGCGCCACATGAGCGCTCCTTGGAGCGCTCACGTAGCGCTAACTTAGCGCTCCGCTTTATGTGTGAACCGGCCTTTATGGGAAATAACGATCCGAAGTGTCTGTTTCACGGGAAATAAAAATCCGAATTGACAGTGCCGTGCCAGGCAACGGAAGAGTAAGTCAAATGCTTATAACCGCAAGGTTTTCCGATGGCTCCCTCTCACAGTTCCTATCTGTGACGTCATGGCCAGGATTTTCCTTGGTGTGGGTAAACATCTCAGTGGAAGTTCGGAGTCTCTGTATTCGCAAACTAACACCGCCAAAGTTTCCTGTTTGACATTGCTCTTATTTCTGTAAATGAGAGCAGAATTAGTGGCTATCAAAATTAATTAATTAACAAAAAGAAATAAAGCGTTTGACTCATAGTGGAAAGCCGACCAGTGTTGACGTTTTGACCGCGCACATCGCCATTACTTAATTCTACTAAAAACCCCATAATGAAGGCTTGGCCAGTCGTGGAAAGCCGACAGCAGTTGAAATTTTGGTCGCGCGCGTCGCCATTAATTAATTCCAATAAAGACGCCTAATTTTTTGACGCCCCAGACACAAAAAACATGTTTTGTGGCCGCCGACGTCTGGCTTTTTCTCCCAAAACATGGGGCTAAACTATCAAACTACCGCCGAAGGTACAAGCACGAAAATGTATGTTAATAAACCCTTTCCGAAATTCAGCCTATCTCAGTAACTATCATCACCTAGGTGTATATTGTCACGGGTGGTGACTAAAGAAACAGTAAATAAACAGAAATAAATAAACGTTTAATGTGGCGAACTTGTGAAAAAAAAAAAAAGGGTACAAAAGATAATAACAGAGCGTCGCGGGCGTCGAAGTCGGCGTAGCAGCAGAGTCGAACGCTGGGGCGAAAACTGACTCCGCTCGCCTGGCGGAATCCCTTATGTACCCTCGTGGGTTTCTGGATCGTTCGGCGTGGAAGGTTCGGCGCGTAGAACATTCTAACCTCGAATCAGCAAGATGGTTCTCGAATTTACGAGAACATTACTTTACAGGGTCAACAAAAAAGTGCCTCCGCGGCCAGGAAGCGAACCCTGGCTTTCAGCGTGGAAAGCAAGCGCGATAACCGTTAGGCCACGCGCGCGCTGCCTACTTGGCCAGCTGCGCGCGCGGCATTACTCCCCCTTTTAAAAAGGCATCGTCTCGATGCTACGTAAAAGGCAACAAATCAGAGCGAAACAAACAAAAGCTCGCGAAACACAATCCTATCAAGCGATGCACAAGATCACAGTTCGCAGTCTTATCGTGCGTAGTACGGCTTGAGGCGCACGACGTGGACGACTTCCGGTCGTGGAGCGCGGCGTGATGAAGTCCGTGTTCCGTCGGGCATCACCTCGTAGTTCAGATCCCCGAGTGGACGAAGTACTTGTTAGGCCCCAAGTAGCGCTTTAGGAGTTTCTCACTGAGACCACGGCGGCGGATCGGTGTCCACACCCACACCCTGTCTCCGGGCTGGAAGTGGACGTCCCGACGACGAAGGTTGTAGCGGCCAGTGTCGACACGTTGTTGGGCTTGAATACGGTGTCTGGCGAGCTGGCGGACTTCTGCCCGTTGGGCAACCACCTGGGCGTCGTCGCTTCCGTCGACAGCCGGTTCGTGGGGTAACATCGCGTCCAGCATTGTCGTTACTTTGCGACCATGAACCAGTTGGAAGGGTGTCACCCCGGTGGTCTCTTGCACGGCCGTGTTGTAGGCCAATGTGACGTACGGCAGCACCTCGTCCCATGTCTTCTGTTCCACGTCGACGTACATGGAGATCATGTCGGCGATGGTCTTGTTGAGCCTCTCCGTCAGCCCATTGGTCTGCGGGTGGTACGCCGTTGTGCGCCGACGGCTGGTGTGGCTGAGACGAAGGATTTCTTGCGTCAGCTGGGCCATGAATGATGATCCACGGTCTGAGATCAAAACTTCGGGAGCGCCGTGCCGGAGGACGATGGACTCGATAAAGAACTTGGCGACTTCCACAGCAGTCCCTACAGGAAGGGCTTTCGTTTCGGCATACCGCGTGAGATAATCTGTGGCGACAATAATCCATCTGTTTCCTTGCATCGATGGTGGGAAAGGACTAAGTAGATCCATTCCGATCTGCTGGAACGGTACGGTCGGGGGAGCGATCGGATGTAGGAGACCTGCCGGCTTCGTCGGCGGTTTCTTGCGTCGCTGGCACTCGTGGCAGGACCGTGTGTAGTAGTGAACGGTCTTCGACAGCTTGGGCCAGTAATACCTTTCACGAATTCGGGCCAGCGTACGGCTGTAACCAAGGTGTCCGGATGTCGGGTCGTCGTGGCAGGCTTGGAAGATCTCCGCTCTAAGGTCGGTAGGGATTACCAGCAGCCATGGTGTGCTGTTGTCTCCGAAGTTCTCCTTGTAAAGTACACCTTGTCGGAGAACGAAAGTCGGCAGGGCTCTCAAGAAGACACGGGGGACAGTACCCCCTCGTCCTTCAAGGTGCTCGATTAACGCGCGCAACTCAGGATCGTCTCTTTACGTCGTGCCATGTCGTCGGTGTTCACTGCACCTAGGAAGCACTCGTCGTCATCGTCGTTGCTGCTGCCAGGAGGTGTTTCGACGGGGGCCCTGGACAGGCAGTCGGCGTCGCTGTGCTTCCGGCCTGACTTGTAGACCACAGTCATGTTGAACTCTTGTAGTCGTAGACTCCATCGTGCGAGGCGTCCTGACGGGTCCTTGAGGTTCGCAAGCCAGCAGAGCGAGTGGTGGTCCGTGACTACACGGAACGGGCTCCCGTACAAATACGGACGAAACTTCGTTATTGCCCAGACGACCGCAAGGCATTCTTTCTCAGTCGTGGAGTAATTTCTCTCTGCCTTGGACAGTGTCTGACTTGCGTAGGCGATAACTCGCTGGGTGCCTTCTTGCACTTGAACCAGTACCGCGCCAAGTCCAGCGTTACTTGCGTCCGTGTGAATTTCGGTTTCCGCATCTTGATCGAAATGTCCTAGAACAGGAGGAGTCTGCAGTCGTCGCTTCAGCTCGTCGAATGCCTGCTGCTGCTCCTCGGCCCATTCGAACTTCTCGGCGTCCTTTGTGAGGTTTGTGAGCGGTGCGGAAATTCTTGCGAAATTCCGGATGAAGCGCCGATAGTAGGCACATAGTCCAAGAAACCTTCGCACGGCCTTCTTGTCTGTCGGTGCGGGAAATGCTGCGACGGCGCGAGTCTTCTCTGGGTCGGGGCGAACGCCTTCGTTACTAACCACATGACCTAGGAACTTCAGTTCATCATAGGCGAACCGACACTTCGACGGCTTCAG